GGTGCCCCAAATCGCAATGCTTCTACAAACATGCATGCCTCACTGTAATGGGACCCACTCATACATTCATTGTTTTAGCAGAAACAATCAACTTGATTCAAGACAGGCTAATTATAATAGGGTAAGAACATCTAATTTTCGGGCACCTGGAAGTCAAAACTATTTTCGTCAACAGTTCTAATACCGAGGTCCAAAGTCAGGAACAAAATATAATAAAAGTTATGAATAAAGGGTACAGCCCAATTAACGTAAATGTATTAGAAAAGTGAAATATTATAAGGTAGAATATCAAGTCCTTATTGTGTAAAACTAATTTAAGATTATCTCCGGTAGGAATTATACAAAAATCAGACGGTAAGTCTTGGCGACTAATAATGAATTTATCACACCCTCATAATACCAGTGTCAATGATTTTATCCCGCCAGAATACAGTAGTGTGCAATATACCAAGTTTGATTCGGTTATTAATATGATAAATGGTTTAGGTAAGGGGGCTAAAATCGCAAAAATAGATATCAAATCGGCATTTAGATTATGTCCTGTCAGACCTGAGGATTTTGAACTTCTGGGTTTCAAGATTGGGATTCTTTTTATATCGTCAAATGCCTACCAATGGGCTGCTCAGGTTCATGTGCAATATTCGAAAAGTTTTCTACTTTTTTTGGAGTGGCTACTAAATTTTAAAACGGATTTGAATTCAACGGCTCACTATTTAGATGATTTTTTTTTTCAAAGATCAGGAACATTTGATTGTGAACTCCTCATGTCGACTCTTGATGAAATGTGCCATAATCTAGGTGTACCAATGGTTGATGAATAAACGGAAGGCCCAGTAACGAAATTAATTTACCTTGGGTTGGAAATAGACACTGCGAACCAAGTGGTTCGCATTCCATCTAAACATATAAAACCATTATTGCTAGAAATTCAAAATATGCTTAAACATAAAAAGACCTCCCTTAAATCACTTCAGTCAATAGCAGGCTCATTCAATTTTTGTACCAAAGATTTAACTGGGGTTGGAGCCTTTAATAGGCGTTTCTATGATGTTATGAGCGGTATTAAAAAGAAACACTACCATATTCGCGTTAACCTCGGTATACAAGAAGATCTTCGTATATGGCGCCAATTTTTGTCGAATTTCAACGGTCTTTGCTTTTTTTCAAAATACAGAATGGATTAATAATCAGCAATTACATCTTCACGCCGATTGCGCAGGTGGAGCAGATCTAGGTTGTGGTGCTTTATTTAACTGTCGCTGGGTTTTTCTCCAGTGGCCATCGAATTGGCGTAATAAACATTTTCTTCGGGATATATCTTTTCATGAGCTCGTATCTGTAGTTTTAGCCCTTTATATTTGAGGGAAAAGGATAAAAAAACAATAGAATAATATTTTGAACAGACAACGAGGGGCTGGTTAGTATCATAAACAAACACACCTCCAAGTCTAAATATGTAATGACTTTAATTCGAAAATTAGTCTTAATTTGCTTGCAAAATAATATTTTTTTTAAAGCAAAGCATATTGGAGGTTCTTCTAACAAAATATGTGATTCTATTTCTCGAAAACAGTGGCACAGACTTCGGCAATTGCTGCCCAAAGCAGATTCAACTCAGGAGAAAGTACCGGAAGATTTCCAGAACCTTTTATCAACTTTGAAGTAGAAAGACTTTTGGCCGAAGCAACTGCATTTAACACGAAAAAGGCTTATGAGACAGGGTTACGATCCTCTGAAAATTCAGACAAAGTTATAATTTCCTAAATTCGTGGCCACCTTCTGTCGATCAAATCTCAAATTATGTAGCCCATTTATCTCTTATAGGTAATCAATGGTCAACTGTAAAGCTTTATTTATCAGCATTAAGTAATCGAGGTAAACTTTTAGATATCGAAGACAATACAAACAATTTTCTTAAAAAAAAAACATGGCTGACAGGTAAAAGTGGGAGGAATTTGCTCTGTGACAAATGACTAATAACTTGTGAAACAGTTCTTTTTTGGACAATTATAATACAAGGATGTGCTGATATCATAGTAATTATTCTGAGACTAGAGGTTTTTGAAATATTGGGATGTACATAAATTCATATAAAGTATTGAAGGAAGTTTTAGTGATTAGGTGTAACAAGTGAGAAGAGTAATCAGGAGACCAGATTGTTTAAGTGTCTGACTTAAGTGAACTTATTTAAGAATTGTAAGCTGTGTATTGAGCTGTGTAGTGAACTGTTTAATGAACTGAGCAAAATTAATTAACCATTTATCACCAATTTGAAATTTAGCCAAAATAGAAAATAAAAAACAACCTGATAGTGATAAACAATCTACTAAGAGAAACAGACCAAATTCATCTTATGGTTCATCCTTGACTGAGGACTCAATAAATATGGAAGATATTCATGATTCTACATTTCCTCAATTTTAAGATATGGCTCGGAAATATGGGGATACCATTCTGGTAATGAAATTGAAAAAGTGCACACACGATTCTGCAAGAAGGTCTTAGGAGTTAGATCCTCCACAAATAATAATTACGTTTACAATGAATTAGGAAGATTTCCATTGATTGTAACACGCACTATTAGTATAATCAAATACTGGACCCTATTACTGGACACTGAAAGCACTGTCCTAAAAGCCATATATGAAGACATGTTACATAATTATTTATTATCTAGAAACTATAGTCCTTGGTTAGAGTTCGTTAAAAGAACACTAGATCAGTATGGTTTTAGTAATATTTGGCAATCGCAGAGAGCTTTGAACATTAGGTCTTTTATATCAGATTTCTCTCAACGCGTCGAGGATTGTTACGTACAGCAATTGAAAGGCAATATAGACATCTCTAGCCGATGTATATATTATAAATATTTTAATAATAGATTTACACTACAATACTATTTAGAAAAGAATATCCCTTTTAAGAATCTTATCTGTCAGTTCCGTATATCTGCGCATAGTTGAGCCATTGAAACAGGTAGATATGATCACCAAGCACGAGAAGAAAGGGTCTGCTCACATTGTCCACAGGAGATAAAAGATGAGTTTCACTTTATCTTAGTTTGCCCTAAATATACAGATATCAGGAGAAAATACATAAAACCCTATTTTTGGAGGAAACCATCTGTTTTTAAGCTAGTAGATTTACTCAATTCACAATCGATGTATGTCTTAAAAGGTGTAGGTAAATATCTAAACTGTGCTCTTAAGTGTAAAAATCAGTGATGTATGCGTACTCTTCATGATAAATGAAATGATATTAACTTTATTTAATTTCCATGTTGTATTCAAAAGTCACCCCTAGCACACCTTCCGCCGCTTGGCTGTAAACAATTATATTATGTATTTTGTAAATGCTTATGTACTTTGTATACGGCAATAAAACAATAAAACAAATAATCCAAAAGCAAGAAATCGGGTTTAAATTTTATAAATGAACTAGACTTATGTGACATTTGGGGGTTAATGCATGAACAGAAAAGGGGGTTCACTTGGCAACAACGGCGACCATTCAAACAGGCTAGGTTAGACTTCTTTTTGGTTAGTGCGGATGTAATACCATACATTAGTGCTTCAGAAATAACCCCGGGATACAGGACTGATCACTCGTTAATCAATATTGAACTTAATCTTACTTCACAGAAAAGGGGGAAAGGGCTATTGGAAGTTTAATAATTCACTTTTAAACGATCCTGATTTTATAAAAATTGTCAAAGAACATATTATCTTAATGAAACAACTATATGCAGCTTCACCATATTCTGATGAATATCTAAGAGAGCACAATAATATTGACATCACTATTGATGACCAGCTTTTTTTCGAAACTTTATTATCATACCTTAGAGGCATAATTATATCATTCCCAGTGTATAAAAGTAAGAAGGCCAGTAAACAGGAAGAAAAATTAGAAAAAGAAAGACTTGACCTTATAGATAATAAAATGACATAGAAGCTTACAAAACATTAAATGCAAATTTAGAACAAATGCGAGACGCAAAAATAAGTGGTGCAATAATAAGATCTAGAGCTGAGTGTCATGAAGAAGGAGAAAAACCAACTAAATTTTTTTTATCATTAGAAAAACGTAATTACACAAGTAAATTAATAAAGAATTAGGATTAGAAAATGGGTGTAGAATAACAAAGCAAGAAGAAATTATTTTACAACAGGCAACATTTTACAAAAAATTATATAAGACTAATAACATCACTAATTGTAATATCTTTGAAACTGATTCTTGGAGAAATATTTTAATTTAAGGTTCTCTCAGAACAAGAAAGAAATCATCTAGAAGGACTCCTCACTATTGAGGAACTTAAAGCCAGCCTTTCTAAAATGAAATCTAATAAAAGTCCCGGACTAAGCGGTTATAGTGTTGAGTTTTTTCAATTTTTCATCAATGATTTAGGATATTTCTTGCTACGGTCTATTAATCATGGTTTTCTAACAGGTGAACTAAGCCAAACACAGAAAAGGGGGGTAATCACATGTATTCCTAAAACTGATAAATCAAGATCACTTCTAAAAAATTGGAGGCCCATTTCTTTACTTAACATACCGTATAAAATTGCTTCAGCTTGTATTGCCGAAAGAATTAAATTAGTTCTGGATACTATTATATCTTCGGACCAAACTGGCTTCATTCCAGGCAGATTTATTGGAGAAAATACCAGACTGATTTTTGATACTCTTTTTGAAACTGAAAAACAAAATAACTAATTTTACTAATTGATTTCGAAAAAGCTTTTGACACTGTCAGTTGGGATTTCATGCAAAACGCTTTAAGTGCTTTCAATTTTGGGCCATCAATAAAACTTTGGTTTGAACTTTTTTATAAAAACATTGAATCATGTATTATTCAAAATGGCCATCTCTCAAATTTCTTTGAATTAGGACGTGGATGTCGCCAGGGGGATCCTTTATCGCCATACTTATTTCTAATATGTGCTGAAATACTGTCGATTCTGATTAGAAATAATAGGAATATAAGGGGGATAAAAAATAAATGATAATGAAAACTTGTTATCACAGTTTGCAGATGACATAGCCATAATATTAGATGGAAAAGAAACCTCCTTGAGGGAAACACTCAACATTTTAGATTTATTTTACAAAATGTCAGGACTTAAAGCAAATTTAGATAAAACTAAAGCAGTCTGGATTGGGTCAAAAAAATATTCAAAAGAAAAGCTATGCAAAGATTTGAAATTAATATGGGAACAAGGAAACTTTAAAATTTTAGGGATAACGTTTACAACTGTTTTGGAAGATATAACAGATTTTAACTTCAGAGAAAAGATAAATAGCGCAAAGACACTAATGGGCATGTGGACATGGCGTCAATTAACAATAATTGGCAGAATATATGTTATTAAATTTCTTGTTTTACCCAAGTTCATACAGTTACTATTATCCTTACCAAACCCAAATAATCATGTATTTAATGAAATAGAAAGTATGTTTTTCAAATTCATCTGAAATAACAAGCCAGACAAGATAAAAAGAGAAATTATGCAGCAAGATTATCCAAATGGGGGTTAAAGAGTGCCTGATATTAAAATTTTCAATAATGCATTAAAAATCACTAGGATTAAACGTATTTACAGGAAATGAACGTTATGCTTATTTCACAAACAAACATAAAAATTTCAATGTATTTTTATTCTCATGCGGTTCCACATACTTGGAAAGTTTAAAATCAAAAAATCCTTTTTGGAAGGATGTTTTTAGTGGTGGAAAAGTTTATGCAATATTATGAATGATTCTGGTAAAAACATAGCCCACCCCATCTGGTTTTCTGGTAGAGACAAATTTTGTATTATTAAAGAATGGTTTGATAAAGGGATACGTACAAATTTAGATCTTTTTAATGAGAGTGGTAAAATGTATTCATTTAACGATATAAAACGTATATTTAGATTGTGTAATGGAAATTTCCTTGACTACGAAAGAATTATTCGAACAGTCAAAAAAGTATATAAATGCGATTTTATAAAACCTACAAAAATGTGTGGCCCACATCTCTCAATATATCATAAAGTTCATTTTAAACAAACTGGCAGTAGACATATATATGATCTTATAATAGGAAATAATTCAGTAGAAAATATAAGTCAATTAAAATGGGAAAATATATTTAATCAAGAAATGGATTGTAAAACAATAAATATGATAGAAAGGACGAATTCTTCAAATACTAAAATGATAGAACTTCAATTTAAAATCCAAAATAATATATTAAACAGTAACGTCTTTCTTTTTAAGATAGGATATGTGCAAAGTCCACTTTGCACTTGCCAGGAGGAGGAGGAAACATTAGATCATCTTTTTTTATGTGTAAATGTATTCAGACCCTTTGGAATCACATCACTTTACTTTTAAAACAAATGCAGATCGAAGTTAACTTCACGGTGTTTAATGTGCTGTTTAGCTACCCATTAAACTCAAATCTAGAAATAAATGTGTCTTTAATTGTAAAATATTATATATACCTCTGTAAAAACCAAGACAGGAAGCCAACTATTCAGAACATGATTATTTACATTAAATCACAAATAGACTCTGAATATTTTCTATCTTTAAATCATAAAAATCACGATTCCAACACCTTTAGTGAAAAATGGCTTCTTTTCCGCTCTATTCTTAATAATGTAGAATAATTTAATAACATAAAACTTGTATCTGTTTTGAAAAGAAAAAAATTCCGGATCATTATGATTAATGTGTAGCTTCTCCATTGATTTTCGACTTTTCGCCCAATGGAGACTACAACATGCCCCATTTTTGAAGAATGAATGCCGTGCTAGGCTGGCTCGAAGCTAGTCCTTCAATGTTTCTGATTATTTCAAATCATAATATATACAATGCTTAGAAGGAGCAGTTGTTGCAACCAATGCCTATTTTTCTAACAGTATCCAGGTCGTACTATAACTGTACATTTTTTACTATGTTTTACTATGTTTTTACTGTATTGTAATATTAATGTATATGTATAGATCTTCATCTTGTAATAAACTTTTGTCCAAATAATAAAAAAAAAAACTTTTCTTATTCGTAAATTATTGGATCGTTTAAAAAGGTCAAAAAAACCATACAGATTTGCGCTTGCCTATTACATATATTTTATTAAAGATCTCAAATACTCTGCCATTAATATGTAACTCAGTTTATGAGCAAATACTGTTTAAAGCAGCATGCCTTACAGCATTTTTTTTCGGATTCATACGAATCGGTGAAATTGTCTGTGATACTCATTACAAAACTCCATTAAATGCCCTTGATTTTGAGGATGTAAAACTAAATGTCTCAGAAAACGGTAATGTTAAGAGTATGCATGTCTAAAACTGATCAGTTGGGGCAAGGAACAATTCTGTCAATTGAAGAAGGCGATTCTAGTCTATTTCAGAATACTTGTCTGTTAAGCCAAATATTAAGGGAAAATTTTTCTGTTATTTTGGAGAAAAACCCTTGACTAGTTTTCAATTTTCTAGTGTTTTAAATAAAGCTACTACCACCTTAGGACTTGACCAGTCAAGATTTAAAGCACATCCCTTCAGAATTGGGGCTGCCACGTCGGCATCTATGGCAGGTTTTAGTGAGGATGAGATCAAATCCATGGACAGGTGGAAATCTGACGTAGTCAAGACTTATATTCGCATATTGTCCAAAAGACTAATTACATACTAAAGAAAAGGGACATGTACGCCATTTTGGGGGGGTTAATTTGAGTTTTTAAAGTATGATTTAGTCTTCAGAGGTACTACAAATGTACCAAAATTGCATTGATTTCTTCAAAAATATTTCAAACCAGAAATTGGCGCATCTGTCCCTCTAAATCATGTTGTTTATTTCAGTCATACCCAAGACAGTCTGGATTGTCAGTTCGTCTTTGGTTAAACATTTATGGTGGCACGCCAGTCTTCTCATTGGTTGAATATGGGTTTAAATGCTAAAGTATGGTGACAGGGAACTCCAGGTTTACGCTGGATCCAACTGGTTCCCAAGCATCTTCTAAATTTTGAGGACAAACCAAATTTCCTGATTTTATATTGCGCCGGAAATGACATCGGATATATACCTGCAAAATCCTTAATCAAAAGTATCCAAAGGTCAATAGAGGAAATTTCTGCCTTATTTCTAGATTCAAAGTTGATTTGGTCCCAAATTTTGCCTAGACGCCACTGGAGGTCTGATAAAAGTGGTTACAATGCTGAAAAAGGCCCGAGTCAGAATCAATTCCGCAGTGGCAACTAAGGTGTTAACGTAAGGAGGGTATTATATATCTTACCCTGATATCTGTTTAAAATATGTAGATGCGTATAGTCATGACGGGATTCATCTTTCCCAAATGGGTTACAAACAGTTTATAAATTCGATCAGAAGGGCAATAAAACAATTCATATCGTCGAAAATACCCGTATACAAAGAAGGATTCACTACCTTATAAATTATCTGTTGCTCAGTTTTGTACGGGAGAACATTCATATACATGCGTTGTGATTACAGATGAATATTTTTGCTGTTTTTTAACTGTTCGCTGTTTCATGAGTTGTTTTTGAAATATTTGAACTGTATATGCGTTGTCACTGAAATAATTTCTATTTTATGCGTTGTTATTGTATTGATGTTTATATAATTGTGCGTTGTTAAGTGTATATGCGTTGTTATTGAATTATTGGAAATGTTTTACGCGTTGTTTCCGTTGCATTTACATGATTATATTCGTATTCTCACGTACGCTACCACCAAAATTTTTATATTGACTCGTACCTAAAATGTTGACGATGAACGTCTCTGTCACGCGTACTTGTGATCGTTTTTGAGCATCAAATATTCTATAGAAACATTTGTTTACTGAACGTCTGAAACCGAACAGAGTTCAATATGGCATTTCAATTATTCTTGGTCGCCCATATACCGTTTAGGTCGGCGACAACTCAATTTGTAACGGAATTTCTATAGCTGCGACCTACAACGCCAACTTAAATAAAAAAATTAAAATTACCCAGAATTCAATAATGTGTTTTTGTTTATCAATGTCCAATGATATGACATGGGTCTTAAAACTTAACTGGCAGCCATTTTTTTGAATAAACACTTTGAGATTAGATATGTCTTTGAAATGAAATGGGTTCATTCTTGGAAATGACATGTTAAACATTCATAAATAAATTTGGCCCTTAGAAATAGCGGCCATTTTTATATACGTATATTAGACACACTTCCACTACTTGGACCTTGCTGAAATGTAATGCAGTGAAAAAAATGTTATTGCAATAATTAGGTTGGCCAAAACCTTTGGAGAAAACCATTAAAGTCGGCGGCCATTTTGGATTTATGTGATTTAAACACACTTCTGCTACTTGTTTTTGTTTTCGGACTTCTTCATTTCTTTACTGAAATGCTTTGCAGCGAAGAGCTTTATTGAAAACCAAAAGTTTAAACCTGTGCATAAGGTTGAATATATCATACTGGTGATTGTTACCGTTAAGCCAAATATTCTTATTTAAATTCGTCTGTCGAACTATCTTTTAGTTGGGTTTTCTTCAAGAACATAAATCTTATCCTATGACTTTCTTTTTCTTAAAAGTGGATTTATTGTTAAATTATCTCCCTTTAATCACACCAATATAAACCTGAAATATGTAAAATCTGTTCAGTATAGCTTGACGCAAGCGAAACATTTTTGTCCAAGAAATTTTATTGAGATTGTAAAGAGGATTTTAAAGATCGGTACACCTTTTTCCCTTTAATATTTATTGTGTGCAATTTTACAAAATCATTTTCTGCCCTAAATTCATCACAAGGAATACAGATGCACAATTTTCACGTTATGGAGTGGCGTTTTGTTAGGGGTTGGTGCAGGGGGCGGATTGTTGAAGAATGTCCATCGTCTACAGCCCACGATAACTTGAACACAAAACTCCATCGTCTGCGCTTGACACTACGCACCAGCGCTGACAAAATACCTGTTTAGATATGACATGATGTTTTTCTGGTTATTTTATGTTTTTACTTCGTGCATTATGGTTTTAATTAGTTCCGAGCTTTGCACTTTATTGATGAAAAAAAATGGTTACTGATGTTCACTTGTTGAGTTTGATTGGTAAGAACTTTTTTAGATTTTCCTGCATGCAATTATAGAGTAATTGCATAATGATTATTTAGACTATAACTTGAGATGAAAATAAAACCATTTCATGTGACTAAGAGCAGGACTGGAGTTCACGGAACACCCCTTCTCATAATGTTTTTTATTATAGGAAAACTTCAATAAATACAGATGAATGTATAACTCAAAGAAAAATTTCATTGTGTGTTGTAAATTCTTGCAATCGTTCTTAAGTGAAACTACTCAAACTGTACTAGTGTACATTAGTAGAAATTATTAAGCAATTGTTTTGTTCAATATAGTGCTGAGCTGGCAACTAATTAAAATTTCAGAGCGACTCTTAAAAGACGCCTTGTGTTTCGAATTC